ATTTAGCTAGATTTTGCACACATCACATTTATTATGTCGAATTTGTTTGATTATATATATATGATGCATGAGAGATGTTAAAATTGCATGAGACATCTATCATGCAGTTTTAATATCTCTCATAAATCATTTATAAAATGACCTTAATTGTTCATATTATTAAATTATTTTGTTCAACATATATTTAAATATTAGAACTTCCTTACATATCTTAATCCTTAAATTTTAAAATAGGTTTGTTTTAGTTTTTCCTTAAGCTATCGATAAGAGAACATTGGTAAAATTAAGCATATTACTTTCATTAATACTATATATTTGCATAATATATTGATTGCTAATTTAGTATGCACATTTCGAAACAAACAAAATTTTAGCATTTTTGTTGGGGAAGTCTTTCTCTTAGGCTCTTGCTAGGAACTAATGGGTCTCTTTACTATGAAGTTTATGTGATTCTCTTAATGAAATCTTGACACTCAGTTGGGTGATAATCAATGAAATATCCTATAATAATTACTTGAGGGTAGTTCCTATTCATATCACCTATTTCATTGTTAAAGGAGTTCTTTTTAAAACTCCTAATCACATTGAAGTTAAGAGTTCCTTTCACAAGACAATGATAATGAATATCCTTACCCTATCCCTAATTAGTAATTTATCCTAATTAGTAAATTCAATGAATGACATCAGAAATACAATATATCATGCTTTCTATTTCAATTCAAAAATAAGTTAAAATAAATAATTCAATGAAACAAGGTTTAAAGGTTGGATTAATTAAAGCGATAAAGATAAGACTTGATTGCTACATCAGTGCTTAATTAACATTCTTGTCAAGTCTTGATTTGGGTTCGTTTGAATTAGAATAAGAGTAATTTTTATTGCTATTGGGCTTATCTCATCTAGACTCCAAGAATTTGTTAAAACTAGAGTTTGAATGATTTTCCAATAAGTGGTATTGAAGGTTGTTTTTACGAGTCAAGGGCTATAAGTGGTCCAAATTGTATTGAATTTTGGTTTAATTTTGATTTTTAATAATTTATTAAATATTTCATGGTTTTAATTAATTTCAGGATTTATTATAAGTCACTTTACTTTGATTTTATTTTTCTTTGATTTTTTATGTTTAACAGAGTATATAATATTTTTTTTTCTAATTTTTCTTTATTCAAGAAAGCAAAGTAGAAGGTTGGAGTTTTTCCACAGTGCATTCCAGAGTAGACGAAGAAAAGTTGGGTTTTTGTTGAGTGTGTTGGAAAAGATTCCCGTATTGTTTAGATGATACCTGGAGAGTCTCGGCCTCCTAAAAATCAATAGAGGCGCTGAAATTTTGAGGAGTCGATTCCAACACCATTTAAAGATGAGTTGCCCCTTTCTTTTAAGGCATGTAAGACCAAGTTTGTAAAGATCGAACACACCCTTTAAGAGCACAAGAAGATGAATAATTCATGTATGGTTGACACATTGTCGTTGGTGAATCGGTGATGACTTGCCTCCATGGTGATTTTTCTTTTCTAGCAATACCGAGAATTGATGGATGTTCGACAAGTATTGAAGGGAACACAAGCTAATCTTGATTAAAGCGCGAAGACATTGTAGGTTTTTTAGGTAAGTATGCTAACCCTTAAAGAAGAGAATAAAAAGTTGTGATCCTTGAGGATATGTCTTTGATCTAAGAGCCAAACGATTCCCCTTTTGGCCTGAAAAGAGTAAAAGTTAAAGGCAATTGTAGGAGCGTATTTCTCATGATAAGGAGAATGTTGAAGTGAATCAATATCTTTTCATTTGTTGACATTTTGTGAATTTTGTACCAATGTGTATTGGTCATTCTAGCTTTTCATTTGCTATTTATGACATTTGTAAAAGGTGATAATGTGTTTGTTTATAAGTCTTTCTTTTTTACTTGGCATAGTAAAATTTTTAATATTGTTTCTAAGGTTACTTTTGCTTTTCCTTTTGAGTTGTGGTTGACCAATCTCTTGAACAATTAGAAGAATGTTTGATTTTTTCTATATCATTTGGTCAGAGTGCATTTGCTTGACACCATAGCCTCCAGTGGAAGAAGTCAGTTATAATCCATGATGGATAGAAGATCTATCATAGGTTGTATGGTCGAAGATGCTTGTTGACGTTAACATGTATCAGAAATTAGCCCAAAGGAGAATTCGTTAGGGATGTAAGACTTGTCCTTGGTTGTATGGCCAAAGATGTTATATGACATTAACTTGTAATAAATAGTCATATGAAATCTAGCGAGGATGGTTGACATATCTGAGTTTATTAGTCAAAGTTTTTGTTTAACGACTGTAATCAGTTATGAAAGAGGTTGAATGGAATCTATCAATGATTATTGACCTATTGAGGTTGTTAGTCAAATTTGTTGCTTGAGGACCGCAACCTGTGATAAAAGGGGTTGAAGTGAGTCCCCTTATGATTGATTAAGCCAAAAATGAGGTGTCAGAGATGTTCTATGTTTCTTGAGATTGGGGCATTGATCACAATGGAATGTATATTTCTTAAAAATATTATTGTAGTCATACTCAAGAATAATATTTGACAAATTAATAATTATTATTTTTTTAATTTTTTTGTCTCTCAACAGACGCGCTTTCCGCACGAGCTTATGAAACAACATATGTATCAAACCTTGAAGAGATCATCTTCTGATCCATTCGAGGAAAAACTTCAACATAGTGAAGAGGTGTTGAGAAGCTGTTATTTACAAAGTTGCCCCTTAGTTTGAAAGCAGTTCTTGAATGCTTTATATCTAAATGAAACGTGGGATGATTATCCTGCCACAGTCTTGCCTAAGACATTAACATGACCGGTCTTTCAAGACTACAGTGAAAGTTGCCCCCAACCTAAAAGAAGTTATCATAAACTTTGTGGCAGAGTAAGATGTGGGAAGACTACCCCACCACAATCATGCCCGAGATGTTTATGCAAACGACCTTTCGAGACTAAATGCTTAAAAAATGATCTTCAAGAGGTGGAAAGGAGATTTATTTGCTAGTTTGAAAATATATATATCATTGTAGAATGAAACAGAGGATTGTTGTCTCATATTTGAAGACAATGCGAATAGCACTTTCCTTCCCATAGACGACACCAAATTGATATGCTTTAGATAATCCAATATAATTGAGTGATTATTTAGCGTCTTAGCGTTGAACGAAGACCGAACACATTTTAATGGAAGTTCAGGAGTAATAGTGAAGTTTTATTTGAAGTTAAATTTGTATTAACAATATCTATTTAAATATTAATGCGATGTAAATAAAATTTTCATAGATACTCTCTATCATATATCAGAAATATTCTTGATAATCATTTTAGAATAATAACTGAAATTAAATTAAAATTTTGAATTTTAAAAAAAAAAAAAAAATCCAACTAAGTCAATCTAAGCAACATTTTTTTAGCTAGACAAACAGAAAATCTTGGTTGCTCTCGAGTTGATTCTGAAAGGAAGTAAAAAAAGTGAAAATTAAGGAAAAGAAAAATAAAACATTTAACTGGCCCATGCAGGTCTCGAACCTGCGACCTTCGCGTTATTAGCACGACGCTCTAACCAACTGAGCTAATAGGCCATTCTGATTGCAAGGAGAAGGATAAGTTATTTATTCTAAATTAAGGCATGAACTGATGATTGCATTCAACACAGGTGATTTTTATGAACTACTGAACCGACGTTTTCTAGGCGTGTCACGATCAAAAAGTGATATTTTTTTATGAGATGACAGATTTGGGTGCTATAATTTTAAAAAGAAAATTTTAAATGTTAGAAATGTAAATACATAGGAATTGGGTTAGGAATTATGTGGTATATGTAAATGCCCAGATCCAAAATAAGATTTTCTTTCTGACGTTTCAGCAAGCTGATAGCGGCATTTAGGTACATACCACTCAATTCCTAAGCATTTACATATCAAACATGTAAACTTTTATTTTTAACATTTACACCACCCAAGCTGTTCATGATCCTCACCTTATTTCCTAAGAAAAAATTCATATTTAACTATACAACAACAACGACAACAATAAGCCTTTATCCCACTAAATGGAGTCGGCAACATGAATCATTTTCTCTATTGTGTCCTATTGAGTGTCATATTTTCATTTAATTCTAAAAAATTAAGATCATTTTTTATACAATATACCCAAGACTTCTTAGTTTACCTCTCTATCTTTCTTAACATAAGTCGAATCTAAAACATTTATTCTCCTAATTGGATCATCAAGTGGCTGATGTTTATTGTGACCAAACTATCTAAGATGACTCATTCTAATTTTGTCCGCCACTGGAGCTACACCAATCCTTTCACGAACACATTTGTTTCACATTTTGTGTCTAAGCAACACATAAAGTTAAATTTAAGTGAACATCAAACCACTCATCCACTAAGCATTCTTATCTCAGCAACGCATAGACTTAGTTTTATGCTCTTCATTTAAAAGCCAACATTCTGAGCCATAAAACATTGTAGGTCTCACCATCATCTAACAAAATTTTTCTTAGCCAGAGAGGTAATTTTCTATCACACAATAAACTCAACGCATTCTTCCAGTTCAACCAACAAACTTGAATTCTACTAATAACATCCCCATCTATATCACCATCACCTTGAACAATAATATCTAAAACATTCATACATCTGAATGATTTGATTCCCTTAGATACAACTCTGTCACAAGAACTACCGTCACTTAAATTACATTACATATATGATGTATTCAATTTTAAATCTACTCAAACGAAAGCTTTTAGACTCCAGTATAGACCTCCAGAATCCAACTTTTTCCTAAACTCATCTAGTCTTATCCACAAGAAGGATATCATCATACACCGAGGCACATCTTCCTGTAAATGTCCAGTAAGAACATCCATAATAAAAGCTAAAAGAAATGAGCTCAAAGCCAAACCAACTTGTCTTTTATAAAATAAGAAGAAGAATAAATAAAGTTTATTACAACAAAACAAAGAAAAAAATTTTAAAGTTTGATCAAAGGGTAGAAGCAGAAGCTCTTATAATCAGTTCAAAGAGCTGCTGTGGAGCAGAAAAGAAAGGGCTATGATCTGTGTCCATGACAAATACTTGTTGAGGTGGCCACTTCCTTATCATGGTTTCTTGCTTCTCTGGTTTTACAACTTTGTCGTAGGTTGTTTTGATATATATTCTTCTAACTTCGCTCACTTTTCCTTCAAATTTTGCAGAGCGCAGTGCTTGAGTTGGTGCCGGCCTTAGGAGCATGGATGCCAGCACTGAATCCTACACAAAAGCAGCCCAAATTCCTTACAAATAAAATAACTACGACAGTTATCTGAATGTTATGTCACCTGCTAAGATATTGGTCTTTGGAAAAAAAAATATAGTTTTTTAAAAATCTACCCATAATAAATGTAATATTTTCATAATTACATCTATTAATATTGTGATTAATTAATTGAGTCCATAACCTTTATTGCATCTTGGTTGAGTTAATTGATCTTAAATGACCCAATTTAACTCAAACGAATTATTTAAGAAGTTCACTTGGTCAATTTGTGTTTAAAGTCTCAATTTTGATCAAATTGATTCAATAAAAAATAAATATTTTGATGAGTTCATCACATCATAATTGAGTCCATGAGCTTTACTTTGAGGAAATTGGCTCAACTGACAGAATTGAACTATTTAGTTTGGCTGCAGAAGTTGCTGAAACCAGAGTCTGCACATCCTGAATTCGAATATGAAAACTATATACATCAAGATTTGTACAGATTTTTTAGTGACGTATTAGTTATAACATGGATAAATAATGTAAAATTATTTCTATAAGGTTATAAATTACTAATTACAGTACCTTCAAAAAGTCTTTTTTATAAACTTGGCTAATGCATTGTATTGATCAATATTAATATCATATTAATGTTTCATAGGGAAATCATTTATGTACCTTTAAGAAAATAAAGAAAAAAAAAATGTAAAAACAATGAATGATGCCAATAATTAATTAGGTGGGCATGAATTAAGAATTCTAACAAAACAATATAGAATAATGAATGATGAACCTAATCTGAGAATGATTAACCAAACCTCAATTGGGCTCAGCTGGTACAATAACTTGCGTTGGAACTCCTCACGAAAAGCCAGACTTGTTGGGGGTTTGTCACGTCCTAAAGAAAACTCCATGCTATAGACATCACCATATTCCGACAAATCTGGAACTCCCTTTGCAAGCCAAAAATAAATTGTCCATAAATAATTAAATAAATAAAATGGACTCCAACAAATTGAAATAATATTTACATAACCTGTCAGCACAAAAGACTGCATTTTGTTCATTTTATTTTACTGTTCTATTGAATAAAATTATTGCCCATAAACAAGTAAATAAGAAACAGCTGAAACTGGAAACGAATACTCATTGAAGTTGTTAGCTTTGAAATAAAACTCACATCTTTAACATCTTCTTCAGTGGAGAAACCAGAAGGAAGCATCGTGGCTGCAACGAATATGGCGACCTCAATTTTGTCCCCAAAATGATGCAGTGAATGAGTCAGGCTGAGGCCCCCAGCACTGTGTCCCACCAGAATCACCTATGCAAGAAAATAAAATAAAAATATTCTCATCATATAATTAGGATTTTCAAGTATATATGTGCAGGAGTTTTGATGCCATAATGAGTCAGGTTAACAACCATTCTTCTATGAAAAATGTTGAATTTTGTTTGATAATACTCTGTAAATGAAAAAAAATTCAATAAGAAGTTATACAGGGATTCACATACATACCACAAAAACTTTATCTTTTACCTATTTAACACCCAAACTTTAATATTACAACTATAACACTCAAAACTCATTATTCTATCATGGGATACAAATGTAAACATCAAAATCCCCTGTTCTTTTTCACTAACCTTGTGGCCCTCAGGCAACATGGAGAGGAAATCGAAGAGAGGTTTGTTGTAGTCGTGAAAAGTGAGTATGGAGGAGGGATGGGAGAGGTTGACTCCGGCGCCGGCAAGGTCAAGGCAGGTGGCTTTGTGGCCGGCGACTTCAAGGAGGCATCGAAGCTTGAACCAGCACCAAGCTCCGTGGCCGGCTCCATGTACAAGAACGAAGTGCTTTGGTTCAATAATGTGGAGACGGTTGAAAGCTTCGCTTGCTGCTTCCTCCATCGGCCGGCTTCTTTTCCTTCGGACAAAAACTGATCTGTAAGCAATTTCTTGGCCGTGGTCCTCTTCTATATATTGTTTTCAAAGGATAAAGTTATTAGAAAAAGAAATTGGATCCGAATATGTGATGATTATATTATACAAAGTTAAGTGCAACTCCAAAAAACAGTCTACTTGAATGTTGATGAGATAGCGACGGCTAGCAGGATCAAAGCTGAATGAAAGAAGACGAGGTTGCCGGCCAATATTCGAATGGCCAGCGCACCGAAAGCAACACCGGCCGGCCAATATTCCACCGGCCTTTTCCGACCCGCCGACCGAAAGCACAACACCGACCGGCAAACTAGGCCAGAGCCAACCAAAGGCCAGCTCCACTTGATACGTGACACCCAAACTCCCGACGCAAATTACTTCTCTAGTATATTTTCTAGAACAAAGGTCCACAATGCCTGTACTACCCTTTTATATAAGGGTAAAAATGTTATTTTATATTTTATTTTCCTATCATATATAAATAAGATACTTTTATATATTAGAGAATTTTGGTCGTTTCGGTTTCTTTGGACCTCAAGGCCTTCAGGTCTTCAGACTCTTTTTCCCCCTCTTGTACCCGAGATAGTCGATGATATAAAATGAATCACAAAGCTCAGAAACACCCTTCTTCCATCCCTACGAAACAAGTCTTGTTCGCTCTCCCTCTCTTTCTCTCTCCTAACCCAAACATTCTATACCTTAGACATGATCTAAGTAACAAATTTGAATTCAACAGATAGAAAGCAAGAAAATATATAGGCGTCAATGCTTTAAAAGATGCACACAAACATTTCTTACCAAAACAAACATCATGCATGCAAAAGTGAAGGCTAGGCCGAATTTTATAAATTGATAAATAAGTAATCTGAAACAACGTGGATATAATTCCTGAAAGATGCATTCACTTCGAATTATTCAGTTTGTAAATAAACCTTTTTCATCTCATGATAACAGTGCGAAGACCAAGAAATGATTAAGCCTAATCAAAATCAAAATCTGATATAATCATAACAAAGCCACATCAATTTTCAAATTACACGGAATGGAATCCAATTCTATCAGACAATTGGTAGGACCTGCCAACCGGGTAAATACAGGAGTTGCAATTACAATCAACCTAGTTTAATGATCTCAGCCATATCGCTAGTCCTCCAAATATCTATATATAAAGCCTTCAACATTGTGGGATTCATCATCTTGTTTGTACCACCAAGGTCTTAAGAATGGTGATCAGAATCAGAAGCAGAATCTGAATATATGTCAACAGGTCTCCGCCTGTTCAAATTTGCTTCAAGTGGTGGAAGGTCCTCGTCACTATCAGAATTTAGAACCAACTCTGGCTGAAGTTGGAAAGTCTGTGATTCCACTGGTCTTGCGTTTTTAAAGTTTGCAGGCCTGCACATAAACCCAAAAAGTGTTAAGATTTACATACATACCACTCAATTATTATACATCTTCATATCAAACACCTAAACTTCAATTTTGACATATATGTCATCTTAACTACATATGAAACGGTGTATCTTACCTTTAAAAGTTAAAATAGTGGCACTTTTGATGTGATATGGAAGATTTGGGCGGTATAAATGTAAAAAAGCAAAGTTTAGGTATAGATATGTAAATATATAAGACTTGGGTGGCATGTATGTAAATGCCCATACAAAAAATGAAAACATTTCATAAGAAGTATTGATTGAAAGCTACATTGATCAACTGACTAAGTTTTAAGTTTGTATGGTTTTAGAAAGTTTGACAATTCTTTTACATGTGAAAGTTATGTTAGAACACTTCTAATACTTAATTAATGCAAAAGCAAACATAGAATATTTGAAAAGAGACTCCTTCGCCAGTTATTTCGTAATATAAATGTCTAATTTGGGAGAAAATATTACGTCATGTACCGGACGTGAATTGCACCATGCCGTGCATTCAACGGTATAGTGTGATCCATGCTGAAGTACATCGTCCACATGTAATATTTTCTCCTAATTTAGTAGGCTCAATGGTCAATGCGCAGAAACATCTAAACAAATCTAAATTTTTCCCCAACCAGAATAGTTTGCGGGCAATATAAGAGGAATACAAGATATTTTTAAGTATTGCTATATCCTGGATTGAGAACTTCAACTCATATACGAACAAAAGGAAATTAACTCTCAAAACTAGCGTAACAGAAACTAACCAGTCAGGTGATTTTTCAAGAGAACGAACTTGTGCATGAAAGAGAACTTGAGAAACAATACATGCAATTTTCTCTCCAGATTCCAGGGCCTTTTCCCTTCCACCTTCGTCCACAATCACAAAATTTCCTGTGTAGCAACTAAAATCAGATATCATTTTTAGAAATATTACACCACTGACCTCGAACAAATGTCCAGCATACTATCGATTAAAAAAAAAAAAAAAAAAAGACTGATATCGAGACTTTTTCCATAGAAATTTAGGCAAGCACATTTTATTGCAATAACATCAAACACTCGAGGCAAATACAAAGATAAACACCTACAATTTAAGAGGTAGGCGATCTCTTCCAATTCCTATAATTTGAGAGGTAGGAAATTCCCTTAAGCTAGGCATCGCCAGACCAGAACAATACTCCCCTCTCAAAAAACATGTGGTCCTCAAAGAAGGAAAAAATGAAGGTGTTCCTCCTCCACCACAACATTCGTCCTTTTCTCATCCTGTCTCCTCGTCACAAACTGTGAGAACATGTAATATTTGATATTTGCTACGTTGTATTGGGATAAACTTCTCTATCACACAAAAAATATAATTCATTTGCTCGCTTCTTCTGAATTTCTATCTCTGCAAGGCGCTTGAAGTTGACCCCTGGACGTGCTCCCATATTCTTCTCCATCATTGCTTCCTTGAAATGACATCGTATGGGTCCTCAATGTCATGATCACTGAAGTACTTTTTTGGAATTCTATCATGGCCCTGCTTCTACTAGCATTCTCCACCTGGTTCTTGTCATCCAAAATCTGTATTAGCTCCATCATTACTTTTGAATCGTCTTCCGCTCAGAAGACTTCCGTAACAAAAGGCAATGGCACAATTAGATGCAGTCCTCCCTCGGGATCCTACCCATTGTGGTTCCTAGTCCTGGAACAAAATTCTTTGAAGCGACCTTCTCCAGCCCTAAATCACATGCTGTTTTGATTTGTCTACTGAGGCTCGTCCCAAACCTCATGATGTCATCCAATTCCCTCAAGATTTTGCCGCTCAAATATGTACTTGATTCCTTCATTTGATATTGCAAATCCAAATCTGCCTACAACAGTGACGTTGCTTTGATGTTGCGCAGATCTTTCTAGTTAATACTGCTTGCATTCGTTCCCGACACCGTCCCTCAATCCCGCAGCGGGTGAAGGCGGTTTTGTGTGACTCTTCATGATCTTATTAATCCTTTCTTCCAAGGCTATGAACCCAACTCCAACAGCCCCTCCATGGACAGAGAAACGCTCAAATATTTTTGATCTGATGTGTCTCATCACTTTTCCAAGTTTTTCCTCCAAAGCTTCCACTTTCTTAGCCACCATTATTCCCCGAAAAAATTTCAATCACAAAACACAAATATAATGTAAGTTGAAATCCCGCAGTTGGCCTCCAAACTAGTTTGAATCACGACTGCATCAATATACTAAGTGATTGTACGACGCCAATCTTGTCATTTGCTTCTAGATAATGGAGTGATTGTTTGCTCCGAACGTTGTGTTCCCTTTGATACCAGCGAGTCTGGTTGTCGTGATCCCTTCACACTAGCTCAAATCGCAACTTTGCCGAGAGGACGGAGCGGGAGGAGGAAGAAGGAAGTTTGGTTCTCTGTAAGCTGTGATTCGAATGAAGTTTTGGTTATTTGTAAGTCGTGATCTTGTTGCTAACTTCTTCATGAAGAACAGAGTAAATTTTTGGGTCCACAATCCCTTTGTTGCCTTCTCCACAAAGTTCTTTCATTTCGGGTATCTTTTAGTTGTAATATTGTCGAAGCCTTTTCCACAAGCTCACGATCGCGCGTACTATACTATGTTGAGATGTCGTTGACTGCTTCTCCTGTTGATTCCCAAAAATCTTTCTCTTATACCAATTCGATAGGAACCAAATTTTTTCTTCAAACAGAAATTAGGGCAAATAATATTTTATTACAAAAACACCAAACACTCAAGACGAAAACAAAGATAAGCACCCCTAGTATTCAAGAGATAGGTGATCTCTCCCAATTTCTATAATTCGAGAGGGAGGAAATCTCTCTCAAGCCCTAACCATAAAACTCAAAACTCATTCTCATGCATAACCATAACCTTAAACATATTAGTCCTATTTATACTAAACAAAATAAATAATATAAGACTAAATCACCGTTGGCCTAATAAAATACAAAATTACCCTTAGGCTAATCATCGACATAGCAATACTCCCCTACCAAAAAGACACATTGTCCTCAAAGTGGAAAAAATTTTGCTTGATCAACTCATGTGGCTCCCGCTCATAAGCTGACTTGATCAACACATTCGGCATGGCCTTCTTCAACTTCTCAAAAGTCTGGGTCGTCACTTTCCCCCCTAAAAGTTATCCTTCTTTAATTTCTTTGTCCACTGCCACACAATCAAATTATAACTCTTCACAAACTTCTGGTAGAGTCCTGTAAGTCTCATAAACCTTTCTCAACCCCTTCCAAGCCTTAGGTAGTGGCCTCTCCAACCTATCTGTCACCTTCGATGGATCCGCTGACACCAGGGCCTCGCACAAAACAAGAGTCGCCATGAAGCACCATAGTGTTATCTCACTCCCGAAACTTCATTGTCAAAAGTTTTCAATTCATCTTACTCTCTCCTACGAATTGCAACTATTTCATACCCAATGTCACATCAGTGCTCCCAAAATCTAAGAGAAGAAAATCTTTCATTACTTGAATGTATGGCAGCATTAAAATCACTCATTGATAGACTACCCTGTTCTTCTCCATATGTCTCGTCCTCAACATGACTCCAATACTTCTTGTGTTCACCATCTTAAGCCTCAATTGTTTCACTATTTGAGTAGAGATGAGGTTGTGAGTGGCTCCACTATTATTCAACACACCTACGTCCTGCTTTCTAATATGTCTCTAGATTTTCATAGTGTGGTAGGGAGAACCAAAACTTCTTCCTCCTCCCGCTCCCTCCTCTTGACAGAGTCGCAATTTGAGCTAGTGCAAAGTGATCGCGGAGTCTAGACTCACTGGTATCAAAGGAATCAAAATGTCCAAAGCGAACATTTGCTCGATCCCGCTACAGGCGGCGAAGGGTTTGAGTGGAACTTCGTAATCATCTTTATCATTTATTCTAGGGTCGTGAACCTCCCCTCCAACCTCCCCTTCATGATTGAGAAAGGCTCCTCTAATCCAGATTTGATTTGACTGACCTCTTCCATTATTTTTTCCTCCAAAGCATCCACCTTTTAGTTGACATTACTTCTGAACGGTTTAGAAAGTCCTTTATGTTGAAATCACGAGATTCGAAATTTTTGAAAGTGGGTTTGGAGTGCACGGAAGTCTAGACGTTGCGATCCCGAAATTCCAATACGCGGTTCAGTGGAACTATTGGAAGCTACGCGGAACTCCAAAACCCACAATTTGAATTTATGCATGTTGCAAATCCCTCTCACGAGTTTCGATCACAAGCGACGCAAAACTCCTTTATACTAAAATCTCGATCATCGTTTCTATCACAATCAGCGTGGAACTACTGCACATTGAGATCCTTCAACTTTCCTGTGGTTTGTACCCTACAATCTTGTTGTTGGCCTCCCCGTAACTGTGGCATCGAAGTTCGGTCCCAAAGGAGTGTCAAAAATTACATCAAGGCCTTCTCGGCTACCTCTAGTTGTGTTGTCTCATGAGATTTGGCAACAACGATCACGTCTATTCGTGGCCCTGGATATTGCAATCCCTTTGTTCCCTCCCAACTAGCTCCATTTGTGACTGTATCGTGGTATCCGCTCACGTCGCGGCCCTTTGCTTCCTCCAATCGCGATTGTTTCATGTGGTTCAATCACTAATGTCAACACCTATAAGGTGTGATCCCGTCGCCACACCCAACTAGCTCTCATTGCAATTGTATCAAAGAATTCAATGACTATATGTCGCAACCCCATTGGTATTTCCAGAGATCGTATGTTATGATTCCTTTGTTAACCTCCCAGCTTACTCGGATCGCGATTGTTTTGCTAGGCTATGTCACGAAGGCGATTCATTGGAGACGATGAAGAAGGATGGATGCTCTAATACCATTGAAAAGTTTCAAGACAATTTTTTTCACAAAAATTAGGGTAAACACATTTTATTGCAATAACATCAAACACTAAAGAAGAATACAAAGATAAGCACCTACAATTCGAGAGATAGCCGATCTCTCCCAATTCCTACAATTAGAAAGGTAGTAAATCTCTCCCAAATTCTAAGTAGAAGATACAAGACTCGGTTTCATACATACCCTAACCCTGAGCCACTAGGGTCTATTTATAGTAAAAAATAATAAACAATAAAAGACTCATTTGCACTTAAGCACTCAAAAAATAAAATTGTCCTTAGACTAGGCACCAACGTAACAAAAACTTAGGGGTCGTATGAGATCACATATGATTTTTATTATTTTTTTTATATGTTTCGATTTAAAACAAAAATATGTTTAAAATGATATAGCATGTTTAGTTGTTGTTAAAATTACTCAAAACAACTTTTAGATGTTTTAAGTGCTTTTAAAAATAAACTAATTTGTTATTAAAAACAAAATAAAAACGTACAAAAAATACACTAAACAATGTTTTTAAATAAAAACATAAAAATAAATAAAAGTGATCCCAAAGAAGCTTTTAAAAGAAAATCATTTGGCTTGTTCAGCACAGAAATATCCCTTGTTATTCAAATTTCTCTTTCAGAAGTAAGACACCCTCAGAAGGTTCATAAATCACAAATAAAAAAAATAGTAATTGACTAATACCAAAATCTAGATTATATTAAAGAGGTAGGTATATACTGAAGCAGTTTAATAAATCGTGACATAAAAGATAATGGTATAACTAATATATAACATTGCTGATGATGGCATTGATGATATAGGCAGCAGTGCAGAAAGTTCTGATCCGATTCAAAAAATAGAGCACAATACCGACCTGTTTTAATCCAGAAGCTTCTTTGAAATTTAGCTGGAAATAAAGCCAGAGATTTTACACCTTCAGCATCCATAACCTACACAACTAGAATAAATTAGAGCAATATGCTTCTTAAATCACACCACAAAGGTAGATTTGCAATATACAAAAATCAACAAGAAGAGTGATCCAAAATAGTAACCACAAAAGAAAAACAGCGTTGGTCAAATATAAATTCATGGTAAATCACATTGAAGCATTGAGGTTAGGGTAGTTTCCCGAGACAAAATCTTAGGGTCTGTTTGGCGCAGCTGTTGATTATTCATAATCTGCTGATAAGCAGATTATTCTGATAATCTGATAATCTGTAGATTATCAGAATAATCTGTCTTACTGTTTGGGGCAGCTTATTCAAGATAGCTTATTGGTGGTTAAATGACATTCATGCCCCTTTGTGATAAAACTGTTTGGGGCAGCTTATTCAGAATAGCTTATTGATAGTACTGGAGCATATGCAGAAACATGAAATCATCACAGATCATAACTAGAAGATGTCATACATTTCTCACACCCTCATGAGTACCAAGAGAACTAAAAAAAGTACAAATACGAGTATAACTACAATCAGAAATATTAAAATGTTTAATTTCAGACTCTGGCTACGTCTGGCATCATCTGCACTGTCAAAGTGAGAAAACACCGGATTCCCATGACTGTTGGCCGTGTCATATGAGGGACTGTCAGCCCACCGGAAGAAGCCACAACGAGCTGAAACACCCTTGGCACAACCGTGGAACTGCCTCCCAAAGCTATGAGACTGACGCGATGTGAGCAACGGAGCCGGTAGACCACAATAACACAAAAAACCTCTGTCTATACCTGATATCCTAGAAATCATGTTTCTATAACTGTGAAAAAAAAAATTGTTAGTACTTATCCAAATAAAAGTAAATTTGACATTAATGTAGGAACAGAAAAAAGACTTGCTGGATTAGCTATCATATATAGCATCTGCTATAGACTCCCTCAGAGCAGCCATCTCAACTGCACCCTCACCGTCATGAGTTTCATATTCAATCGAGTCCATCTCATTATCAGCTAGAGATCCTGAAGGTTCTAGAATATCAATAATTTCATCATCATCAGCCATATTGAAGTCCGTATCTGAATG